TGGACAATGGAGGTACCTCTGTGCATGTACTGATGACAATAGGAAAAAATCAAATTCTAAAAATAAACTAAGAACCTACAAACTTTTTAAAACCAAAATAGAACAAGAAAACTACTTAACAATTATGAAAAACAGTGAACTTCGCAAATCCTTAACAAAATTTAGACTTGGCAACCACTGTCTGAAAATTGAAACAGGCCGGCATACAGGATTGGATTTTAAAGACAGAGTCTGCAATATGTGCGACAATGACCATGTTGAAGATGAACAACATTTTGTCACAAATTGTCCTCATTACAATGAAATAAGATTAAAACTTTACATTGTAGCTAATAAACGTATACCAAATTTTGACAAATTTAGTAATGAAAATAAATTCATATCATTACTAAGTGACGAGAAAATGTCTATTCCTTTAGCGCAATATTTAAAAAACTGTTTTAATACAAGACAGCAGCACCTACATAAACTAAGCCAGTAATACATTCCTTGTATTCAAATTATTATCTTTTTTTTTTTTTTTTTATGCCTTTTTGTTCCCTTACTTTTCATGTGGTTATTTTTCTTTTACTAATATCTGATTTGTAACCCTTTTCATCCCCTCCGGGGGATGTTGTGTGTTAATAAATAAATAAATAGTAAATGTATTTATTATAGTTCTTAATTTAGATACGATACGACAAGTATATAAATTATAATTTAATTTTACTAAAAAATACTGTGTTAATATAAAAAAAAATCAGTTTGGTTCAAGACTCTTGCCTGCTAACCCACTCCAAATTACCCCCCCGTCTTTATAATGGTATATCCAAACATGGACGTCCATTTACATACGCGCACTGACTGAATATCAGAGTAGCTACAGTCGGTCGCCCGAATCATGTCTTCTACTCAACAAATTACACGAAAATGAAATTTGTTTTTCTACCACTCAAGTGACAGGGACTTGTACAGTAAGATTAGGTTCATTCGCTTAAGTGCCATGCCGGGATCGTTTTGAGCCTATGTCATCGGATAGAAGTACTGTCACTGTCTTACATATAACGCTGTTGATCTCTTTTTACCTCCTTGATCGCGGCGAACTATATTGACATCGTACGTATTATGATATTTAACCCCCGATACACAGTCCAGCAGGGCTATGGCAAGGAATGATTTTGAAAAAGAAATGTCGCTGATTATACTCCTAGCAGCCACAAATGAATCGTCGAGTATCTGTGCCCGGGGCTTCTGTGCTCTACATACCAATATCCTAAGTCAGGAAGCCATCAGTGAAACTCCAATGTTTTGGTTTTGATTTCGGCGGGTCATTATTTCCCAAGATGCATCAAATCTCGCTAAACCGTGA